TATATTCGGATTTCGACAATTAATGTCTCTTCAGTGATGTTGGGAAACGAAACGGTATTTGGAAAGCCATACAATATACCTCAATTTAGGATAGACTCTTGAATTTTGAGGAGTCAAAATAGGATGAACGGATCATATAAATCCGAAGGTAAATATAATACAAGCCCAAACGAAAAAACATAAACAGGTCTATTTTGAAAACAACGTTCAAACCTATGATTGCGTTGGATAAAAATCGCAATTTTTATACGTGTGCATGCAAAACAAATTTCTTGGTAGAGGGGTCTAAATACAGCACAAACAACATTTTCCAAAAGACCAAATGAGTGAAAAAGTATATTTTAACAAAACGCATATGACTAGCAGGTCGAACAACTGATGTTCTTAAACCCTGCTGACTGCCATTGGCGATTGCCAAATAAACGGACCACAAGATGTAACAATATAGATTTTATTATTAATTTATTACTAAACAGAAACAATAAACTTGCGAAAAAGATAGTATACCGCAAACATCAGGTGCAAAAATTTGTACACCATATCCTGATTTCGACAATTAATGTCCCTTCAGTGATGTTAGGAATCGAAACGGTATTTGGAAGGCCATATAATTCACCTCAATTTAGGATAGACTCTTGAATTTTGAAAAAGTCAAAATAGGATGAACGGATCATATAAACCCGAAGGCAAATACAATACAAGCCCAAACGAAACAATATAAACAAGTCTAAATTGAAAACAACGTTCAAACCTATGATTGCGTTGGATAAAAACGCATTTTATATACGTGTGCATGGAAAACAAATTTCTTGGTAGAGGGGTCTAAATACAGCACAAACAACATTACCAACAGACCAAATGAGTGAAAAAGTATATTTTAACAAAACGCATTTGTCTAGCAGGTCGAACAACTGATTTTCTTAAACCCTGCTGACTGCCATTGACGATTGCCAAATTAACGGACCACAAGATGTAAGAAAATAGATTTTATTATTAATTTAATACTAAACAGAAACAATAAACTTGCGGAAAAGATGGTATACCGAAAACATGAGGTGCAAAAATTTGTACACCATATCCGGATTTCGACAATTAATGTCTCTTCAGTGATGTTAGGAATCGAAACGGTATTTGGAAGGCCATATAATTTACCTCAATTTAGGATAGACTCTTGAATTTTGAAAGAGTCAAAATAGGATGAACAGACTATATAAACCCAAAGGCAAATATAATACAAGCACAGTCAATTAAATATAAACAAGTCTAAATTGAAAACAACGTTCAAACCTAGGATTGCGTTGGATAAAAACCGCAATTTTTATACGTGTGCATGGAAAACAAATTTCTTGGTAGAGGGGTCTGAATACAGCACAAACAACAATTTCCAAAAGACCAAATGAGTGAAAAAGTATATTTTAACAAAACGCATTTGTCTAGCAGGTCGAACAACTGATGTTCTTAAACCCTGCTGACTGCCATTGGCGATTGCCAAATAAACGGATCATAAAATGTAACAAAATAGATCTTATTATTAATTTATTACTAAACAGAAACAATAAACTTTCGGAAAAGATGGTATACCGAAAACATGAGGTGCACAAAGTTGTACACCATATCCGGATTTCGACAACTAATGTCTCTTCAGTGATGTTAGGAATCGAAACGGTATTTGGAAGGCCATATAATTTACCTCAATTTAGGATAGACTCTTGAATTTTGAAAGAGTCAAAATAGGATGAACGGATCATATAAACCCGAAGGCAAATATAATACAAGCCCAAACGAAAAAATATAAACAAGTCTAAATTGATAACAACGTTCAAACCTATGGTTGCGTTGGATAAAAACCGCAATTTTTATACGTGTGCATGCAAAACAAATTTCGTGGTAGAGGGGTCTAAATACAGCACAAACAACATTTTCCAAAAGACCAAATGAGTGAAAAAGTATATTTTAACAAAACGCATTTGACTAGCAGGTCGAACAACTAATGTTCTTAAACCCTGCTGACTGCCATTGGTGATTGCCAAATAAACAGATCACAAGATGTAACAAAATATATCTTATTATTAATTTAAGAATAACAGAAACAATAAACTTGCGGAAAAGATGGTATACCGCAAACATGAGGTGCAAAAATTTGTACACCATATCCGGATTTCGACAATCAATGTCTCTTCAGTGATGTTAGGAATCGAAACAGTATTTGGAAGGCCATATAATTTACTAGTACCTTAATTTAGGATAGACTCTTGAATTTTGAAAGAGTCAAAATAGGATGAACAGACTATATAAACCCAAAGGCAAATATAATACAAGCACAGACGAAAAAATATAAACAAGTCTAAATTGAAAACAACGTTCAAACCTAGGATTGCGTTGGATAAAAACCGCAATTTTTATACGTGTGCATGCAAAACAAATTTCGTGGTAGAGGGGTCTAAATACAGCACAAAGAACATTTTCAAAAAGACCAAATGAGTGAAAAAGTATATTTTAACAAAACGCATTTGACTAGCATATATATATATAAAATGACTGAATAGTAGCCAACGATAAATCTTGCGGGGCGATGGATCATATAATTATGATACAGTACACTACAAAATATAATATATAACAAGTCTTAAAAAGGTACAACATCACCAAAAAATAGAATTAAAATGAACAAATATTAAATATTTCGGATAACAGATACCCTTCATCAGTATGATTATGATGTAAAATGAATCATATCAATCTATTCTGATTAAATCTTGAAATTTATACAATAAAACAGTTAAAACCGAACACAGAGAAATTTCAAAAATGACGTAGGTTATATAGATATTTACAACTGAGATTGCAAATTAATGCTTCAAATAAAAATAGTTATGTGCGATATGAACTGGTACAACTCTAAAATTTCAAAGGTGACGACAGTTAAGATATTACAACAACGATTGCGTGGAAATACACTCCCAATAAACAGCACTGACCGATCTAAGCTGGTATAATACTTCAAATTTGACAACGGTAGAGTAATTGAAACAGAGGCTGCGTATTTAAACATCCCAAATAAATAGCAGTTTGATAATGAAAATAATAAATGTTGACTAAAGTTAAATGATTGAACGTGACTGCGTACTTGTACATCCCTCCCAAATAAATAGAACCCTGTAATTTAAAGTGGTATAATTCAAAAATTCCTTAAAACTGTAAGAGTCCAGTACGGAAGCCTGAGTTAATGGAAATGAGTGATTGTAGGGGAAATGAGTGACTCATTCTATGTTTTTTTCATTTATGCCCTCTGGGGAAACTGTCCTTAGCTTTCTTATCAAAAACTGTCCGTACTGGACTCTTACAGTTTTAAGGAATTTTTTTCAGATATATTGATGATGTCCTATCACTGAATAACCCATATTTCAGCCAGTACTTACATCTCATATATCCCAGTAAACTTGAAATTAAGGATACTACTGATACTAGAAGGACGGCTTCATACCTTGATCTCTTCCTCAATATTGACACAGATGGACGACTTCACACTAAAATCTATGACAAACGGGACGATTTCAACTTCCCAATTATCAATTTCCCATTTCTCAGCAGTAACATACCCTTTACCCCCTCGTATGGTGTTTACATATCTCAGTTGATATGTTATGCTCGTGCATGTTCACACTTTACGGATTTCTTTTACAGGAGTGTGCTCCTTACTCAGAAACTGCTCCAACAAATTTATGAGGAGGAAAGATTAAAAATGACACTCCGTACATTTTATGGACACCATCACAAATTGGTTGATCCATACGATGTGTCTGTGTCTAAACTAACTAAGGACATGTTTTCCACGTCTTTGATTATGGTTTACCATTTACGTCGTCTGGTCTTGTAAGTACCGAACGTGACCTATTCCCGAATATGACTGTTTTACTGAGTGTTAATTCTCATTGCTATAAGACGTGTCGCTTTATTTGTTTATTAAGCGTTCATGTATTTAGTTACGAAGTTTTATTTGTATATCTGATCGGATATTGTTTTGTGTCTTAACGTTTGTAGTTGTGATTCTATCTTTTATTTTCTATTCGTATGTAAAAGAAAAGATAATTAATCACCCAGTTCATTTGCATGATTTTAGTTTATTTAAAGCAACTATGTGCACAGGATTTATTTGTTTTACATAATTTGATTTGGAAGAAAGGCCGACATAGTTAGTTGCATTATTACTAACACAATTCTATATTAATGTTCTTGTAATTGTTATAGAATACACCAAATAACATAATTAGAAACCTAATCTTGATTTATATCCAATTTTTAGAAATTTACCTGTGACGTTTCTTTTTGTGGCGTTGATCCATTCGTGTTACAGACACACACTTCGTAATTCTATTAAGCTGTTTTTGTGTAGTGTAAATTATTTTAGTTATTCGTTGTTATTCTGTGGTTAACATGTCGAAATGTACTATTATATTATTTATTTATGTATGTCTCTGTCTTTGGTGTTTTTGCATTTTTTTGTACTCTGTTTCCCGTCATGTAATGTTGTCATTTTAGCGGTATATTTAACATTGCCATAAAGCGCGGAGGTTTGGCCAGCCACAAAACCAGGTTAAACCCACCATTTTTTTCTTAAAATTTTCTGTACCAAGTCCGCAATATGGCAGTTGTTATCTTATAGTTCGTTTCTATGAATGTTGCATTGATGTTTGTTTTTTGCTGCACTTCTATGTTCTGTTATTTCGTTGTTTTCCTCTTATATTTGATGTGTTTCCCTCGGTTTTAGTTTGTAACCCGAATTTGTTTTCTCTCAATCTCAATATTTAACATTTGTTCATTTTATTATTATTTTTGGTGATGTTATATATATATATATATATATATATATATATATATATATATATATATATATAAATATATGATTCAAGTTTTAGTCTTAATACTTTATATGAAAATTTGATATGCATCAGATACATTACATACAATTCAATAAATGTATTGTTTTGCATTTTTTTCAGTTATCCTAAGATTACCTACGGATATAGAATTAGGAAAACCATTGGTCTTTAATTGCGAAATCTCAAATATAATTCCAACAAGAAGAAGCAGACAGTGGCGAGGCGGAATCGGTAACAAACTATTATGCTACGATGGAATTTCTGTTGATCCAACAAAATACAAAGAAAGGAAGATAAATCAAACAAATTATGAATTAATTGTAAAAGAAACATCTGAAAGCGATTTGCAATGCCAATATGCATGTCTGGTTGGATTCGAAAGCGATCAAAAGTTTTTGGAAGTAAATGAAACTAATTTTTTGCGTAAGTTAGTGTAACACATTGTATTAAAACATAAGTTTGGTTTTTCTTTAGTAAAGAAGGTTGTTGATAAGTGGCTGTGAAATTTTTAATTCATTAAAGATTAAATTTCTATATGTAGGTTAACCACCCATGTACGTTAATTTATAAGAACACTTAGCAAAATATCATATTATAAAACAAGAACACATGAAAACGAACTTGTAACAGTATTTTCTAACTTCAGACAAATATTATAAATTGTGTGTATGTAGTCTTTGTTAACTAAAATACAGGTCGAATACAAATATAAGAAAATGAAACAACGTATCGCACAGACATGACTGTGTTGATAACTTCGGGTGTATTTATATACAAATATAAAGTTTAAGATAGACAATTACTTCCAAGGGTGCGATTTGGCGTTCAGTTAATGGTTCTTTAATGATTAAAACTTTAACATGGAAACAGAGCGACATAAAAAGATATTCTTCAGCGAGTGTTTTCAGATTATAAAATCAACTTATTCCAATCATAAAAGGATATACTCAAAACAATTTTGAAGTTCGTTGCTAGAAAATAAGCACACAGCAATGTTTAATTTAAGTAATTATAGTTCTACTTTACTTGAACTTTATAATGATTACAAAAATAGGTAACACACTGGATACAACTTTCTTTTTATTATGATTATGGTTATGTTTTCAAAGAATTGCCTGATGAACACTTCACTAAAATGTACTACCAAATGCAGAATGGAAAATATAGTCTGAAATTAATTCTCAGAAAAGTATTCCCAAAACCAGTGTGTGAGCTGAAAATGAAAGTAAGTCATGCTCCAATGAATATTGATATAACTAAGATCTTTGTTTTTTATTTCATGAGCTTTACAATGATTACTGTCTTGAGTGGAGGAGGGGATGACACGGCATGATTTTGTTCGGCATTACTTGACATGTATCATATACAATATTTTGTAAGCAGCAAAACTAAATTAAAAGAAATACGTGTTACTGGCGCAGAATGAAACTTTGTTTTCCTCATGTCAAGTCAAGACCTTTAAAAAATTAATAAACTTTACCATTTATGTACATAGTTATCTCTATCGCCTCAGTACTTTATAAAATATATAACCATGCTGCATTGAACGAATGATGCAGAAAACTATGAAGAACTTCCTAAATTTACGGGTATTATTTTATATCTTCCTTTTATAAAGAAGCATGGCCATTAATACAATTATAAATAATATTAATGATGTTTTTTCTTAAATACTAACGATGAATGTAAATACTATATAAAGCTAGTTAAATCAATAAATGTTATTCTATAATGGCTAGGTCATTGAGTCATACTCTAATTTAGTTTTATAATATTATACAAATGTATTCAAACTGTCTTTTGTAATCATACAGCGTATTTCAATTTATGGTTTTCATTTTACATTCATCACCTTTAAGCGAATATGTGTGTATGGTTCGTGTAACACTTATCAATTCAGAATTTTAAAAGTTTTCAAATTTTATTTTTTTTTGATTTTTGATCAAAGTTTTAAGATATCAGAATTCCAATTTATTATTTTTTTTTGAAATTTTAAAACTTTTAACAAATAATAAAAAAATTTAAAATTATAAACTTTGTTTAAAAATTAAATAGTTAAAAAGCAGACTTTAATAATACTAAAATGAACGTACAGTTTTGATCATTTCGATTTTTGAAAGATTGAAGGTTTTGATTTTTAAATAAAATATAGGAAAAGGAGAAAGGACTGAAAAGCAGATACCTGTTACAAGTGCGAAAGGGAATAAGAACGGAACGAAACAAAATTTGATATTTATAAAACCAAATCAAAACGAAAACAATATTTTCTGAAAATTTGAATATAGAATAAAACAAGAGACTAACTCTTTGATCTACAGGATGAAAATGAGAAATATGATTTTTTGAGTCGAAAGATTGATTAGTTAGACCTGATTTTAACACACTTTGATTCTCTAAATAAATGAACAGCAAGCAGAAATTATTTTTCAATTTTGTGATTACTGCAATAAATATGGTTATAATAGTATATGTCTGTATATTTGAGTTGGATACATCCACGAGGGGCTTCAATAATGGTACATTTTTCAGGTGCGGATCCAGGAATTTGAAAAGGACGAGGCCTAGTTAGCCAACGTATGGACGGATGCTTGTTAAAAGTATATGCATTTATTAAATATGTAGCACCATTAGGGGCTCCATGCCCCCTAAATCCACCTCTGTTCTAAATAGCGAATAAACATGATAAAAGGAAACGGGATATTTATTTTTTTTTATGAAGGGGTAGTTCCGTATTTGTGTTTTGTGCATTTGAAACTTGATACAAAACGAATGACCTGTAATAGAATCCGTTCAGGATAAAGTTCGGCAAACTTAAGATCGTCATTGCAAAATGAGGGGATATTGGATTGGGACAGAAACTTTGCATTGCAACAGGCAACCAACGAGTTGTTGCTGGAGTTCTTAACGTGTAGAAAGCGAGGCACTCTCTCGCTACACAACCTATTCTGACTGGACGTAGCTGCATACTATTACTTTGCTCAAAGTTGATTGTCGTACAATACGTAACACATGTGCAAATAACAAATACGGAACTATCTCTTAATAAAAATATCAAATATCCCGTTTCCTTTTATTCGCTATTCAAAACAGAGGTGGATTTAGGGGGCATGGAGCCTACCAACCCCTAATAGAGCATCATATTTGATAAATGCATATAATTTTTACAAGCATCAGTCTAAACATTGGCTAACTAGGTCTCCACCTTTTTAAATTCCTAGATCCGCACCTAAAACATGTGCTATTAGTGAAGCCCCTAGTGGAAGTATCCAAGTCAAATATGTATATAGACAGATATTATTAATAACCACATTTATCACAAAGATGACAAATATTATCTGCTAAATGTTCATTTATTTAGAGAATCAAAGTATGTCAAAATCAGGTCTAACTAAGCAATTTTACTATTTAAAGAATCCTATTTATTATTTTCATCCTGTAGATTGAGTAGAAGTTAGACTCTTGTTTTTTTTTGATAATTGGTTATTCAGAAAATATTGTTTTTGTTTTGATTTGGTTTTGTAAATTTCATTTCATTTCGTTTCGTTTCGTTCTTATTCCGTTTTCCACTTGTAACAGGTATCAACTTTTTAGTCCTTTCCCCTTTTCTATATTTTCATCAAAAATCAAAACATTCAAACTTTCAAAAATAGAAATGATCAAAACTGTACGTTCAGTTTAGTATTATATTTAAAGTTTACTTAAATATCTAAACTATTAAATTTCAATAAAATTTATAATTTTAAAATTTCAATTATTTGGTGAAATTTTCAAGTATCACTAAATCTTTTTCCCCTATTAAATAAAAATATCATTTAAAATGTATTTATTTAGAGTGAAATTATAAAATTATATTTTATACCCATGAACAGGTATGTAAGTTTCACTGTACTTTCCCAATAACAACAATTTTAATTGTTATGTGATCTTAAATGAAAAATATATTAACAAAATCCCCCCCCCCCCTTTTTCCTTACCATCAACACCTAATTTTAGTTAGTTTATTACTTTAACCAATAAACTATGTGCTGTTTGATATAAACGAAAATGGCGCAATTTATTTTTAACGAATTGGTTACAATGAAAGTAAAATAAAATGTTCGTCTGTTTAATCGTTCTAAATATACCTTTTGCCTCATGGGTTCAAAGTTTGGTCAATAAAGCCACGGACAAAAGAATCTTAAAGAAGACTTTTTTTTATTGTAATCAAGTGTTCATGTTCTGAGTAATATTTTTTTCCTTAAATATTTGAGTAGATTTCTACAATTAATTTGGGATGAGCACTTGTTTATTTGGACGCATTATACGTTTCTTGTAACGACTGCTTTCTATCGGTTTATCTGAATCGCTTGTAAACAATCTCTACATTGACTTGGCTGTTTATACCCTAGCTTGATAGAAAAATAACTGTTTAAAATTATAACCCCCAACAGGTGCCCATATATCTATGACGTCTCAAATTTATTCATACAAAGTAAAAAAAGTATTATAACCCCCAAAAAAGACTTAATAAAGACAACTTAACGTTTCTTCTACTAATCTGAACCTGGAAAATGTACCATTATTGAAGCCCCAAGTGGATGCATCCAAGTCAAATATACAGACATATACTGTTAATAACTACATTTAGAGCAGTATTCACAAAGTTTACAAGTAATTTTTGCATATTGCTTATCTATTAAGAGGTCTTACTAATTACTTTTCCGACATACAGAAACATGCTTCTCATTTTCACCATGTACAAGTTAGCCTCTTTTTATGCCCCCGCCGTAGCGGATGGGGCTTTAAGTTTTACCCTTGTCCGTCTGTACGTCCGTCCGTACGCACGTCTGTACGTCCGTACGTCCCAAAGTTGGTTTCCGTTCTCTAACTTTAGTTTGCCTCAAACAAATGTTATGAAACTTATACACAATGCTTATTACCACAAATCACAGATCAAGTATATATTTTGGTGGCGTCACTATAACCGTTTTAGAGTTATTCCCCTTTACAAATGGAATAAATTGCTTCGCCGAGCGTAGCTGGATACGACCGCAGAGGTCCAACCCGGAACAGTTTGGGCAAAAATGAACACAATATTTGCGCTTGATACAGGTCTGAATTTGGATTGTAATTAAATATTTGAAACATAATAGGTTTCTGACACAGAATATCTGTAGTCAAAGAACTTAGAATTGGTTGTATGATTTGAATTTATATTCAATTTTTTGCTTTTGATTTTACTATCATATTTGTTAGCTCATGTACTTTTATTAAGATATATCTGAACATCAGTTCGCTTCTTTTATTATCATTTCAGCATTCTGTTTAACGCTAGATATAAAATTATGAGAATATATATATATATAAAGTTTTGAAAATACACATACCTTGAGACTTTGATTCACTTTTTACTACATATAGGGGAACATTACACTTAATTGTGATTTAATTTCGAAATATGACTGTATAGTCATTAAATAAGACTAGCTATTTTATGTGTGCCAAATATATACCAAGAAGGAAAAGATAAACGTGCAAGTAGTATATTTTATTCACCACACACTATATATAAAAGCTAATGATATATACACTTTCATAACATAATATATAAAACACAACATCGAAATTAAAACATTCGACAACACGTTCTCCACAAACGGAAAGAAATTTTGAAGCCTATTGTTGTTACAACTGAATTACACATTGTCAAATTTGGTCTTAATCTGTGTGTCTATTTTTATGTTTTTATCATATTTCAGGAAGCAAATATAAATATACCTGTTGCAGATTTACAGAGGTTCCACGTGTTACTAGATGTGACATACGTTTTAGATTTAAGTGACAAAATGACGGCCTGTGGCAAAGTTGAATGTCAATTACGAAGGAAGAGTTTTCTGGTCAGATTAGAAAACAGCGCTACTTGCAACCGTATGTTCCGTTTGCATGTATTCTATATTTTTATGACCATCATCCATATATAAGAACTTCGGATTGATTTTTTTTTAAATGAACACGCAAGGAAATTAAACTTATTAAAATATACACAAGAAACAAGAACACACCAATTATGAAAAGTTACAAAGGCCAGCTAATACATAGAAATGCAAAGACACATCCATACACGGAAAAAAATGAATAATGACAAAACAGTTACTTTTAAATGATAATTTAATAAAACAGAACTTAGTTTTGTAATGAAAACTCAAAATTTACAATCATGAACTAATATTTACGAACAAAGAAGAAACATACAAAAGTAGAAAGATGATTAGCGAGGAACTAATTTAGCTATATGGCATGACGACCATCGTATTGCTTAACTTAAAAGGAAAACACACTCTGATATTAAACAAGATACAAGTGTATTTCCGTAGGAGTAAATTTTATGATTGGTCAGCAGTAAACGATAATTTCATCATAATGAATAATAAAATGAATTTGTAGTTTTGTATATGACATTCTGATTAAAGAAAAAAAATATTTATATGAACACCATTTTTATGATTGCAGAAAATCGAAACTAATCAACAACTGATTATTTGAATTTCCCAACTGCAGGATAAATTTTAAAATTTCTACTTTATAGATCTATCACACCAGCAATACCGAAATGTAGCATTACTATGTAAAAAAAATTACGCCAAATTTAAACGACAGCAGTTTACCGATGGTCAAAATAGAAAACAAGCACTGCGTTTGACATCGACAGAAACGTTTTTAAAAGCCAACCTTTGACTTTCTATGAACTTTTCATTTTGCATGTACATAGTTTTACAAACAAGCTCTTTACTTTTAATCTTTAGCCCGATTGTATATATCTTCTTCACGCTATAATATTGTGTCTAATGCGAAATGACAACTTTCAAAAATCTAGAAGTAGGGTCTTGTTTGCTACCTTTATTAGTATCTTTTCAATTGATTTATAAAAATCAAACATCGGTACACTACTGCTATCTAACTGTCTTTGAGCATTGAATAAATGTATCGCTTATACATTAAGGCTAAATATAACTTCAGTAGCATGCAATACGTCTTATTTCTTTGAAAAATCTAACTCAGCAGTAAAAAGAACAAATCATTCACAACTGGCTATTGATTGCACAACTAATTTTAATTACAAGCATATCATTACATAAAATCAAGATATAATACCATGCTTTCAATTCATATTTTTAGCCCCAATGACTAGCCAAGACAGTAAAACGCCATCTATAGTCATTGGTGTAGGTGTATCTTGCATTATAGTATTTGGCCTGTTTGTATCCTGGGTAATAGTAAAAAGATGTAAAGGAAATGACAGACTTAATGATGAAAATATCAGGCATACTAGTAAGGTCATCTTGAATTGACATATTTTAAACAAAAACTAGTTTACACTTGAAAATCATAAGAAGCATACATTTGACGAAAAAACAAATATATCACTGTGTTATCAAAGATGCACTTGAAACTATATATGACAAAAAGTAAAATAACAAAAATACCGAACTGCGAGGAAAATTCAAAACAGAAAGTCCCAAATCAAATGGCAAAATCAAAAGCTATAACACATCAAACTGTCATATTCCTGACTTGGTACAGGCATTTTCTTATCAATTGGCGCAGCATTAAAAATTGACTAACATCAATTGTGACATACAAACATGAAAAACCCCAGGTTACCAAACATGTCAAATGCATGGCTGTATGTTAATCTACAGGCGGCATACAAATATTGACAAACTTATTAGAAAAACGGGTACATGTAGATCAAATTTTTTTTAAGATCTCGTTGAATGAAGCAATTCCAAAAATCACACTTAAACTGAACCATACAGAGTTTCTATATCGATACCAACATAACATTAATACTTAACCACATATGTACTTATAGTAAAACTTTTTGTGTTAAATTCAAAAAGCAATTAAAAGTCAGAGCGTTTAGAATTTTTCTTTCGTCATTTTACATGTGAATTATATAATATATTGATAATAATTTTACTGTGCCTTTTTTAGTTGAATATTTGAGTATCATCTATTACTGTTATATTCCAGATGAAGACAGCTTGATGATATAGAATAGAGGAACGTGTGTGTGTGAATGAATATATCGCAATTTAAAAAAAACCCTTTTTAACATGTTTAACACTTTTGTTTTCAGGAAAATTTGCTTTATTTATATTGAGTGTAAAAAGTACGAGAGTTTATATTTGAGTTTAAACTGTACATTGATGATTTGATATTCATGTAACTTGTACAATACATTGTATATATAGAATGTGTTCGCAGATAAATTTGTAGAGTGCAACATTAATTATGTTCATGTATTTTTATATCTATTTCCATACAGAAAATATTTTCTTTTTTATATATATATAACATATGTATAACAAAGACTGTCTCTATCGATTGTTTATCAATTGAAATCAATTGAAATAACATACTAGTGATTGGATAAATAATAAAATGACGAAATACTTTGCAATACGCTTTGTTATTGTCACATGCTAAAAAGTTCATTTAAAGTACCCATATGTTTTATTTTAGATTTAGAGATTATAATGTCGACTATTTACCATTTTGAAGCTTAATTCGAGATTTGAGAACGGATCTATACATCAATTTGCGTACATTTTAGAGTAGTCTTCAGAACCTTCTATGTACCGATATTTTTTTGATAACACGTAATTGATGAATATTCGATGTAAGTCTTTAAACAAGGATCCCATCTTTCAACTCGACAGAATTGATTAAACATGAAAATATGAAAAAGGAAAAATGGGTACAAATATCCCTGTGGCGATGAAAATTAACAGTAACTAATAACAATCTATAGAAAGGAAGAACAATATAAAAAAAGTTTATCAAAATAGAGTGCGTATTTAAAAAAAATTTTGTTACCACATATTATATCAGCGTTTTAACTCTTTAACTTTATACTTGTTTGGCTGTTAAACTATTTTGATCTGAGCGTCACTGATGAGTCTTATGTAGACGAAACGCGCGTCTGGCGTATCAAATTATAAGCCTGGTACCATTGATAAATATTTACACCACTGGGACGATGCTTCGTCCCCGAGGGTATCACCAGCACAGTAGTCAGCACTTCGGAGTTGACATGAATATCAATTATATGGTCATTTTTATAAATCTACTGGTTGCAAAAGTATGAATCTTTCGAGATACTAAGGATTTTCTTATCCCAGGCAAAGATAAACTTAGCCGTATTTGGAACAACTTTTTGGAATTTTGGGTCCTCAATGCTCTTCAACTTTATACTTGTTTGGCTGTTTAACTATTTTCATCTGAGCGCCACTGATGAGTTTTATGTAGCGTCTGGCGCGTCTGGCGTATCAAATTTTAAGCCTGGTACCTTTGATAACTATATACACCACTGGGTCGATGCCACTGCTGGTGGACGCTTTGTCCCCGAGGGTATCACCAGCTTAGTAGTCACCACTTCGGTGTTGACATGCATATCAATTATATGGTTATTTTTAAAAATTTATTGTTGGCAAAAGTATGAAATATTCGAAATACTAAGCATTTTCTCATCACAGGCACAGATTACCTTAGCCGTATTTGGCACAACTTTTTGGAATTTTTGGTCTTAAATGCTCTTCAGCTTTATACTTGTTTGACTGTCGAACTATTTTGATCTGAGCGTCAATGATGAGTCTTATGTTGACGAAACGCGTGTCTGACGTATCAACTTATAAGCCTGGTACCTTTGATAACTATTTACACCACTATGTCGATGCCGCTGCTGGTGGACGCTTCGTCCCCGAGGGTGTCACCAGCTCAGTAGTCAGCAGTTCGGTGTTGACATGAATATCAATTATATGGTCATTTTTATAAATTCATTATTGGCAAAAGAATGAATTATTCGAAATACTAAGCATTTTCTCATCCCAGGCACAGATTACCTTAGCCGTATTTGGCACAACTTTTTGGAGTTTTGGGTCTTTAATGCTCTTCGACTTTATACTTGTTTGGCTGTCTAACAATTTTGATCTGAGCGTCACTGATGAGTCTTATGTAGACGAAACGCGCGTCTGGCGTATCAAGTTATAAGCCAGGTACCTTTGATAACTATTTACATCACAAGGTCGATGTCACTGCTGTTTGACGTTTCGTCCCCGAGGGTATCACAAGCCGAGTAGTCAGCACTTCGGTGTTGATATGAATATCAATTATGTGGTAATTTTTTTTATAAATTAACTGTTTGCAAAACTATGAAATATTCGAAATACTAAGCATTTTCTTATCCCAGGCATTAAATACATGAGACGTATTTGGCACAACGTTTTGGGATTTTGGGTCCTCAATGCTCTTCAACTTTATACTTGTTTGGCTGTCTAACTACTTTGATCTGAGCGTCACTGATGAGTCTTATGCAGACGAAACGCGCGTCTGGCGTATCAAATTATAAGCCTGGTACCTTTGATAACTATCTACACCACTGGGTCGATGCCACTGCTGGTGGACGCTTCGTCCCCGAGGATGTCACCAGCTCAGTAATCAGCATTTCGGTGTTGACATGAATATCAATTATATGGTCCTTTTTATAAATTGATTGTTTGCAAAAGTATGAAATATTCGAAATAATAGGCATTTTCTCATCCCACGCATTGATTACCTTAGCCGTATATGGCACAACGTTTAGGAATTTTGAGTCCTCAATGTTCTTCAATTTTATACCTGTTTGGCTGTCTTCTTACTTTGATCTTAGCGTCACTGATGAGTCTTATGTAGACGAAACGCGCGTCTGGCGTATCAAATTATAAGCCTGGTACCTTTGATAAATATTTACACCACTGGATCGATGTCACTGCTGGTGGACGTTTTGTCCCCGAGGGTGTCACCAGCTCAGTAGTCAGCACTTCGGTGTTGACATGAATATCAATTATATGGTCATTTTTATAAATTAATTGTTTGTAAAAGTATGAAATATTCGAAATACGAAGCTTTTTTTTGTATCCCAGGCATTCATTACCTTAGTCGTATTTGTTTCAACGTTTTGGAATTTTGGTTCTTTGATGCTCTTCAACTTTATACTTGTTTGGCTGTCTAACTATTATGATCTGAGCGTCACTGATGAGTCTTATGTAGACGAAACGCGCGTCTTGGGTATCAAATTATAAGCCTTTGATAAATATTTACACCACTGGGTCGATGCCACTGCTGGTGGACGCTTCGTCCCCGAGGGTGGCACCAGCTCAGTAGTCAGCACTTCGTAGTTGACATGAATATGAATAATATGGTCCTTTTTGTAAATTGATTGTTTGCAAAAGTATGAATTATTCGAAATACTAAGCATTTTTTCATCCGAGGCACAGATTACCTTAGCCGTATTTGGCACAACTTTTTAGAATTTTGTGTCTTTAATGCTCTTCAACTTTATACTTGTTTGACTGTCGAACATTTTGATCTGAGCGTTACTGATGAGTCTTATGTAGACGAAACGCTCGTCTGGTGTATCAACTTATAAGCCTGGTAGCTTTGATAACTATTTACACCACTGGGTCAATGTCACTGCTTTTGGAAATTTCGTCCTTGAGGGTATCATCAGCCGAGCAGTCAGCACTCCGGTGTTGACATGAATATCAATTATATGGTCATTTTTTATAAATTAACTGTTTGCAAAGTATGAAATATTCGAAATACTAAGCATTTTCTTATCCCAGGCATTGAATACATTAGCCGTATTTTGCACAATGTTTTGGTATTTTGGGTCCTCAATGCTCCTCAACTTTATACTTGTTTGGCTGTCTAACTACTTTGATCTTAGCGTCACTGATGAGTCTTATGTAGACGAAACGCGCGTCTGGCGTATCAATTTATAAGCCTATAACTATTTACACCACTGGGTCGATGCCACTGCTGGTGAACGTTTCGTCCCCGAGAGTATCACCAGTTCAGTAGTCAGCACTTCGGTGTTGACATGAATATCAATTATATGGTCCTTTTTATAAATTTATTGTTTGCAAAAGAATGAATTATTCGAAAAACTAAGCATTTTCTTATCCCAGGCATAGATTACCTTAGCCGTATTTGACACAATTTCTTTGGAATTTTAGGTCCTTGGTGTTCTTCAACTTTATACTTGTTTGGCTGTCTAACTATTTTGATCTGAACTCACTGATATGAGACTTATGTAGTAGACGAATCGCGCGTCTGGCGTATCAAGTTATAAGCCTGGTACCTTTAATAACTATTTTCACCACTGGGTCGATGCCACTGCTGGTGGACGTTTCGTTCCCTAAGAAATCACCAGCACAGTAGTCAGCACTTCGGTGTCGACATGAATATCAATTATATGGTAATTTTTATAAATTTAATGTTTGAAAAAGTATGAATTATTCGGAATGTTAGGGATTTTCTTATCCCAAGCATATATTACCTTAACCGTATTTGGCACAATTTTTTGGAATTTTTGGTCCTCAATGCTCTTCAACTTTATACTTGTTTGGCTGTCTAACTATTTTGATCTGAGCGTCACTGATGAGTCTTATGTAGAAAAAACACGTGTCTAACGTATCAAATTATAAGCCTGGTACCTTTGAGAACTATTGACACCACTGGTTCGATGCCACTGCTGGTGGACGTTTCGTCCTCGAGAGTATCGATGACCTGCCCAGTAGTCAGCACTTCGGTGTTGACATGAATATCAATTATATGGTCATTTTTATAAATTAACTGTTTGCAAAAGTATTAATTATTCGAAATACTAAGCATTTTCTTATCCCAGGCATAAATTACCTTAGCCGTATTTGGCATAACTTTTGGAATTTTGGGTCCTCAATGGTCTTCAACTTTATACTTGTTTGGCTGTCAATCTATTTTGATCTGAGCGTGTCTGATGAGTTTGATGTAGACGAAACTTGCGTCTGGCGTATCAAATAATAAGCCTGGTACCTTTGATAACTATTTACATGTACTAATCTTTAAACAATATATATGAGTAATGCCCAACTTAGAGGTTATATGTTTATCAGTCTGTGCGTCTGTTCGTTCGTCAGGTCGTTCGTTTGTTCGTCCATCCGTTCGTCCATCTGTCCCGCTTTAGGTTTAAACTTTTTGTATCTGATCTGAATTGTTACTATTGTTTTGTTTATAGAAAATTTTGCAGACCTTTCGAATTATAGGTGTCTGTCCGCTCATTATCACCGCAATTTTGTGGTAATGATGGGTTACATCATAGAAAATGTCATCAGCTGGGTGCTCTCAAACAAGTCGCTCTTCTATTAATAGCCATTTGAACTAGTTCACTTGCATTTACTTCCATGTTACTGTTGGTTGATATGACTATCA